GACAGACAGACAGAAAATTTTAAAAATGGTATTCGTAATCAGCAATGAAAATGCATCTGTAATCCTGGTACGAAATATGATTTTTTTCGATATTACAAATAGACAATCCAATTTTATAAATATACTACAACGTTTAAAAAACACATTTATATTTTGAAAAAGATTAATCATATTAATCTTAATATTATCATTTTAATTCGACTAATAAACAAGATCTATGATCTACAGAGTGTTTGGGGCGTAAGAGCGCAATATGTCTCTAAATATCAAATCAGAATTATTTCTTGGCTTGAAGAGAAACCGATGTTATTATTTTAAAATTATGCAATTATGTCAAAGTTTGCAATTTATACTACCTTTAGTAGGATCAATAAAATAGTTTACTCCTACCCTCAAAATATCACTGATAGTTACTTAGGTGTGATGACGGTGAATAATACTGCTGTGTAACAAATCATTTGCCAAACTTATCGAACCTTGAGTTCAATAAACGATCAAAAAATCGCAATAGCAAATGAAAATTTTAATCTATTGTTACGATCGAAGAATTATAGTATAGGTTGTGAAATAGTTTAGTGTTTGGGCAGTATCCAGGAGGGTTGTGGCCTGTCTAGGTCGTTGTTCCAGTCGCCAGCGCCACCCAGCAGGTGGCCGCGGTCGTCGTGTGTGGCCAGCGACAGTCGCGACAGCTTGTTGGCCAGCCGGCGCTGCGGCGAGTCCGGTCGGGATAGTGGCGGCAGCGAGATACTACCTGTGTCTAGGTAAAGTACTAGGAATTAGCCACGAGAGCTACTAAATTATTACTTCGCTTTAAAAAAACCTTAGAATGTAGCAGCAGCTTGACAGCTTGGTAACTTACATTCTCTTTGAAAATACCATTCTGTATGTTGTCGTGTTAATCTTACGGCTTTGATGTCGTTAGCCGATGAATTCAAAGTAGTTTTTATATCTATTTTACATTTTTTTAATCCTCCTCGCAGGGGCAGCTGCCACTCCCCACCCCCTGCTAATACCCATGTCTTACGGTCTCATTTGACTTAGCAATTGTTCTGGACGTACAAAGTTGTAAGACAAGACCTGAGTGCCTCTTTCTTCTTCAATACAATTAAACGTTAACGACAGTAGTTTAACTGTATGTAGATTAATAATAGTAGAGTGGGTTACCTGATGCTGAATGATATTCATAGTTGGCGTGGTCTCGGTCGCGGTCGCGTTCGCTGGGAGTTTCGAAACCGATACGCTTGCGGTACTCGCTCGCAAAATACTCAATCAATGTGTCCATTAACAACGTCTGTCGCGAGAATACCTGCTGTGAAGATGTACTTTGAACACTGTGACACATTACTGAAATACGAATGATTAATGATGCATCATGATCAGCTCACTATACGGCTCCACCGAGCGGCTCGGAGCCTGATCTAAGTTAGGTGACTAAATTATAGTCAACAATGCTGGCCCAGTGCGGGTTGATATATTTGATTTTCTTTACAGATATGTGTAAGTTGGGGATATCGATGGGGGAGGCCTACGTCCAGCAGTGGCCAAGTTTAGGCTGAGTATGTTGATGATGATGATGTGCAAGGGGTATTATGTTTAGTTCATCGTAAGAGCGACGGATACACAACATAAGTAAATGGAAAAAACACATTGGTACATGGCGGGAATCGAATCCAAGACTTGTCGATTACAAGTGCTTAACTCCTGAGGCTACCGATGCTCGTGATGTTTAAGAATATTAAATTACGATATGTAACCTGTAGTATTTTGGAGACTCGCAGACCATTCTCAACGACCATGAACTGCAGGAAAAGACAGGGCAGACAGTCGTCAGACTCATCAGATGGTAGACCAATATCCCAGCATAACTCCTCATATAGGAGACCCAAGAGTAAAGTCTGTAAGTAAATGAAAAAGTTAATTTTATTTATTATTAAAATTAATTATTGCATTTCAGAATTCAGAATTAACTAACGCTCTCTGTGTCGTCGATAACGTAGACGCCGCTGGAGTTTATAGCGACGAGCACTGGCACGTCCTCGTACGTCAGCAGACTGGTCAGGCTGCGCACCGGCATCTCCACTTGACCTTGGAAGAACGCGGCGCTGGCAAAAAAATGCTTAAATTGTACCACTGTGTTGAAATAATAATAGCTCTGTCTTCTAATACCTTGAGGAAGGTCTCTCTTATACAAAAGTCGTAAACGTATTTATAACTCTTTTCAAGATAAGAGTAAGTACTGTTGATCAGATTATTGACTTCTTCTTCTTCTTACGGTCCCTATTCAAAGTCCAGAAAAAGACGAAAGACTTCTTGATTACGCGACCTTTTTTGGTAAGTCTACTTACCCATATGTAGGTAGCATCCTGACGTGTGCGAGGTACTTCTGGCGCAGCTTGCGTGGCGGCGAGGCGGCGGGGCGCTGCGCCTGCTCCAGCAGCTTGGCCTCGGGGCTGCCCTTGCGGCCAGCTGGCAGCAGCGCCGCCCAGCGCCCGGACCGCGCGTGACTCGGCAAATACTTGTCCTGGTTCTCTCTAAACAACGCCAAACTTCATTCTAAAAACTGTGACTATAATAGTGGTAGAGTCAAACGGTTAAACCAATCTTCTCTTTAGAATGATGAGGAACACTTTTAAATGTTTTAATTGCATACAGATAAAGAACTTAGTAACCTGAAGAACTTAGCGGTATGGCTGTGAGGGTCGTAGGGTCCGAGCTGCACCCTGGCCTGGATGCCGCCCAGCATCACGGCCTGGGAGCTCTCCAACGGATAGCGCCCGTGCACCACATTGTAGCGCGCCTCCTCATATAGCAGTTCCTGGATCTTGGAGTCCCTAATGAAATGAACATTTGGTAATACATTTGCTAGATTTTCCTATGTTTTCATAATCGTACGTGTAATTGAGAGCCTTTATAGGTTTTAGTAGCCGAAAATGGTCAAAATGGCCTACCTTCGCTGCGTCGATTTGTACATTGTCGTCATTTCGGGACATTAACTATCTTGTTAACATACTTGATGCCTTCCTCCAAGTGCTTAGGGAAGAAGACGTTCCTCTGCATGCGCAAGATGGGGACGTCGCGTGAGCGTTTCGAGCTCGGGCCATAACCGTAGCGCCGCAGCAGCATCTGCCAGCCCGCCCAGATGCGCCATGGACAGTGGTGCGGCTTCAGCTGGACCTCTACACAGGGAAAGAAGAAACGGGGATTGAATTAGAGGTCACAACGCCAAAAGCACAACGCTGAACTCATTTTCACAAATGTTGTCTGGAAAACTTACCCAGCATCGGACTACACATCCACAGCGCGAACACGTTAGCAGCGAGGCTCCTCGTGCTGGGTTGCACGAGGCCTAATTCATCAGCAGCTAGCACCGCGTTTAAGAACCTAGAAGCGGTCACGCTGGTCGCCACTTCGTCTGCACTCATCTCCACCATTATTGCGGTTTGAGACATCAAGTAGATGCAGGTCGACTGGGTTGATGACACCGATGACGACGATGATGACGACCCTAAATATTGATTTGAATTGAAGTGTCAGTATATTGTAAGCTGCTGAAACTCTTCCAGGATTTCGTAGCTTAATGTTTGCTATCCTGGAATGCTGGTATGCCATTGAAGAACCATTTAATGTATTACAATCATTTACTAAAATGCTACCTGGTAACGGAGGAGATATAGCGCTTGAGGAGCTACCACCACTAGTCATCGGCTCCGTGGTGCTGAAAGACCCCGCGGCAATGCTGCTCGATCCAGTTTGATTGGAGCAGCTGCTGAGGTTTGACCCTGGGACCAAATGTAAGCATTAAGGCAACTTCTACATACATCTTTAGTTATTGGATAAAGCAAAATAAAATCAAATCACTAAGTGTTGCCAAGCTCTTTAATTTTCGCTTCATACCAATTTATAATAACGTTTATCGCCAGCTTATTGATGAAATATGTTCCAAAAAACGAGTAATTTAAATTAAAAAAATAATAATTTTGTTATGATGCTACAGATTCAAAAAATAACATATTACCCATAACACTCTTTTCCAGTGAATCCGAGCTGTTACTCTCCTTAGAATCAGGCTGGAGAGTTTTGTGGGTGTCATGCTTGTCCCACTCATTGTGTCGACCCAGCGGGCTATACGAAAGATGAGGGAGTCTCTGCGAGACAGAGTACAAGTGCGCGTTCACCTCGGCCTGGAGCTTCTGACTTTGAACGCTGTAGTATTCTTCGCGGGACCTGAATTCGCTAAAAATTATAAAAGAAAAACGAAAATATAATAGAAATTAAAGTAATGTTAATATAAACAGCTTATACCTTAACTACACACAAATTATAATGTAAACAAGTCTATGAAGACTATTGTTAAAAATATTATGCTTAATTTCATACTGAAATGTAACATAGAAGCTTATTGAAAAAAGCATATCCATAATAAACTTACTTGTACTGATATTCCGCTTGAATAGGATATCCACGCCTAGAATAGTCAACAGGAATTATGGTAATATAATTCCCGTTGTTTTGTACATTTGAGTTTTCACCGTAAGCCCCCATGTCTGATTTATGATCCATTTCAATTTATTTGAGATGCCATACAGCAAAAGTAAAATGTTATTTCGTTTATCCAGTAACAAAGAATGAAATATCGATCGATTGTCCGCAGTTTGCTTGGGCCGAACTGTGTCGCCGCATATTAATAATACATGATTGTGTATTACGTTTCAACTATTTAATTGGTCAATTACAAATAAAATGGAAACCAACTCTAAATAAAAACTCATATTGTAGCATTTTAACATATGAAATTTTATCTCTTAAATTCAATAAATTATTTCTAATGTTCCTAGTATATTCAGAGCAAGAGTTTCAAAGATAGAACTATATTATATTGAGAAAGTTTCAATTTGTTATTAAATGGTTATTGCAAAATTATCGTACTTATTATTATTTTAAATGTTTTTAAGAATGGTAACTTCGTTACAATTTTGACAATGACATTAATATGACATTGACAATATGTTTGATTTGTTTGCCAACACATCGTTTTCAATTACATTTCATATTGGAATTGATTTGCAATTAAATTTGCAGTGTTAATTAAGGCCTTGTCGGTCTTTTATTCTGAATTGAACACGTATGTTTCAGATACTGATATGAGATAATTGGCAACAATTTATTTATAAACGACACATAACATTGCATTAATATTTGGCAACAGTGCGGCGTAATTTTTTGACGTAATAAGATAAGTGATTTGTTTATCGCAATTTTCAAGAAGCGACAACGCGGATGGAGGCGAAGTTAAAAGAATATCGAGCCCTTAGACATCGTAAATGGCTCGAAGAAAATGAAAAAGCTAAAGCTAAAGAGGAACCGGAAAAATCCTATTTGAATTTCCTTTTGTCCAAAAACTCTTTTAAAATGGACGATGAGAAGAAAGAAGATGAAGTCCCTTTGGTAAGATTTTAATATAAACAAAGAATACAACATATTCTCCTAATTTATAAGGAAGAAAGAGTTCCTGTTTTCTTGTTAAGTTGAAGCTGTAGCGATATATTGGTTAAGATTAAAGACTTGTTTCAGATTGTAAATGAAAAACCAACTACAAGCCAGGTTTTGATACAGCCAGATGAAACTCCATCAGGAGGTAGAACATTAGAACCAATTTATAACCCAACGCAAGAATCATGGAAATATTGCATTACAAAGTGGTGTATATATTTTATTATATGGCTTACTGTATACATAATATTTCTCAAACTGCAGTTTGGAGCTGTTTATTTCGTGATATCATTATTAATTGGAATATATTTGAATACAAGAACCGGACCTAAGAAAGAAGGAGAAGTATCAGCATATAGCGTATTTAACGAGAACTGTGCCAGCATTGATGGTGCATTGAGTGCAGACCAAATTGTAAGAGAGTTAACATTCGGACCAGGTAATTTACAGTAATAAAAGAAGTCACAAAAACTCTAATATTGCTTTTTTCAACTAGTGTTTGAACCCACACATTAATCAGATGTGGTTTAAAATGATACACAAATTTAGTAACATTTATTATGTTAAGGTATTCTACCTTTGCTAAGTCACAAATTTTGATTTATAAATTAGGTTATTACCGAAATAAAACTAAGTTATTTAATTAAAAGATTTTTATTTATGTCCTAATTCTCGAATTTCAATAAATATAATTTAACAAGCGGACCCGACAGACGTTGTCCTGTCTACACGTCTTTAATTTGAAAATTTCAAACTTTTTTTAATAAGCTAAAATTAAAATTCGAATATTATTTAAAATTTGACAATGCGATGGTAGCGCCGTCTGTCGGATCCAATGTAAAATATTCCAAAATCAACAACTACTAATAAATTAAAAATTAATTAAAAAAACATTGTCCAGCGGACAAAATTCCGAATCTAAACCATTCCCAGATCCCCTTGAACACACACAAAAAATTTCATCAAAATCGGTCCAGTCGTTTGAGAGAAGTTCAGTGACATACACACTCACAGAAGAATTATGTATATAAAGATTTATCAATCTCTTTTTCCACTTATCACAGTCACAGTGCAATTGTTATAGAAAAAATAGTGGTTAGTTACTTAAAAAGGAGTCGTTATTCCAAAGAATAACTTGATACTGGCAAATAGAAATGTCACACGATGGATTCACAGGATATCTGTCAACATTATTACCGAAGCAACTGCAAATGAGATACACAATCATGAGAAACCCCAAATTAATATAATTAACTAGCTGTTGCGACTGGATTAAAATAACCTTATTACCCTTCCAGACTGTCCTTCATTTATGCCAAATTTCATTGATATCCATTGAACCATTTGGGAGATACTTTCTAACTCCATCCATCCAAAATTTCGCGTTAACAACACGTACATTTAAATTAGAACAAGGCTTTTATCTAATAGAAGGGAAAATAAATGTAGATAATTAGAAAAAAATACTTTTATTAATTATATGCACAGATTGACAACGAGTATAAATTTATGAATAAAAGCGAATCACAATCACATTCAGCAAGGTAAATACATACTATAAAAAGAAAAAAAAACAATTCCGCTAAAGAAGTAGCATCAAAAACGTAGTTACATGAACAAACATGATTTAATTTATTTTCTTGGATTACAATAATAGAATAAAAATATTTTTAACAATAGCAATAAATGTTAACTGGCAATACATTTGATTTTAATATAAAGCTACCTTATTGTGTTGCCAGACGATTTTATACGAAATTATACTAAAGTTAACATTCAAAGTATCGACGATAAAGGAAAACAACTACTTTTTACTTTAGCAAATAATAAAAAATAAATAAATTTATTTTTAATTTATAACTATTATGTAACATTGATATAACTAGTTGCCGTATTAAAAATTAAAAATAAAATTAATATAATCAAATTTTGTTCCTAAAATCTATTTAAGAATATTGTGTAAAAAGTGAACAAAAGCATAATAAATTAGGTGAGAATTATTAAATTCTTGTTTTATTATACAATGGATCTATCCGCAATTAGAGAAATTCTGGTCCCAAAAAAACTCGGATACCTTAATTTTAAACAAGACAATCAAATTTATTAAAAAGTAAATTATAGATGACGTCACAAACATTTTAGAACGCCGACTTTTTTGAATTTGAAATATTGGTTTTTAATTCTGAGATCACGTGAAGTAGCAAGAATTTTGAGCAAACGAAACAGGAATGTGGGGGAATTAAAAAAATAAATTATTTAATACCTAAAAAATGATATTAAGCATATGGCAACATTGGCAGTATATTTAACAATCTTGCGGTGACTTACAAACTGTACATGTGTTTGTATGAATATCACTTAAAATCTATAATAAAAATAAAGATTAAATACATTTATATATTATTGTATACTAATCATAAAACCGTAATGACTTAAATATTTCGCCTTATAACCTAAAAACATTACAAATAATATAACTTTGCCTTTTTGAAGATTAGCTATAAAAAATGACCATATTTTACACTTTGACAGATTATATTTTTTATTTGGTCTGTACTTCAATAGGGCAAAGGTAAAAATTATTTCTGCCAAATGTCTTGTAAATACTTTTTAATGGCACAAAACTATTGTTTTTTATTACTTTGAGTAGATTATATAAGGCACAGAGTAATGTAATGGACATGGGCACGTAGTGCTTGTACGTGTTAGAGACACATCTACTGTTAGTAATTTGCCATTGGTGTGTATTAGTCCTTAATCTATTTTTTAATTATATTTTTTACGTTGATGTATTTAAAACAATGCTGTCATGTTTTTTTATGTAAATTTGAAAAAATAGATCTACCGTTTATGGTTTGGTTATTATTTTCTAGTCTTGCAATCCTTACATTAAACGTATATTGTCATGTTTTGTACACTTTATATTAAAACAGCTGCCGATTTTTTTTGTTTTTATAACTTTATGGTTTCAATCACACTTTTTATGTTATTTAAGGGACTTTTTTAAAAATATCTTAAGAAACAAAATATTGAAATGTCTTTTTTCCGGACTTTTTCAATATATTTAGCATTAAAATTGGTAAATTATCAAGAAATAATATTTTTTTAACTACAATATGAAACAAATGTATATATCAATTATATAACAAAAACGATGACTCAAAGTGTTGAATAGATAATAAATAACAGTACAGATAACATAAAGCAATAATAATTATTTATCATTCCTATGTCGGATAGTTGCCTGAAATTAAATCAGTCTAACAACTGTTTTGTACACCGTACATGAATGTTGCTATTCATCACGTAAATTATAACCTCAAATGTTTACAAAATTGAACTATTCATTAACATAACGAGTTAAAATATGTAACAGTAAAGCAAAATATTCTGTACTTGTTCGTCTAAGTGACTAGTTTTTAAATTGTTACTTATAATCTATATTAATGGAGTCATTGCACCATTTAAATTAGCGTTCACATGATTTATAGTTCTATTCCTCTATAAATAGAGTTCATTTTACCTTGCTGTTAAGGTTTCTCTAACATTAACGAATCACAGTTGATGATTAATCTTTGGAATATTAATTCAGTCAATATGGCAACACTTTATAATTAAATCGACACAGAATTGACTGACTGATAGTGACCATTCTATGATTTTATTATCTATGTTAAATGTCAAATTACGATTAAATGCGGCAACACCACAACTTTGTTATTAGCTAATCTACATTTAAAATAAACATAACTCAATCAGCAGCAATAGGATTTTGTGATCTTTGAAAGACATTCCAAAATGGCGATTTAAAATAATCCGAACCTGGCAGGAACGGATTAACACCGTTCCGTTTTACGTCCGGTAAGAGAAAAACAACACTGACAGCGATTATCATATGCCAAAAAGAATGTACTATTTTGTAATTTTGTTCAGTTTGTAAAAACGCGTAACATATTAAACCTACGGACACAAAAAATACTCCGCAAGGTAAATAAGTCGTATAATAAGAACGGGGATATCTAAGATTCCTCGTTCTTTTGTAATCAAAGTACCAGGATATCAGAAGTATGGTGATACCAATCGCGACAGGCAGTAAGAAAGAGACAAACGAATGCATATTCCAAGTAGTCAATAGCGCTATCACTATCGCACCTGTTAATTGTAGAGAAGACCGAAGTCTCTCGTTCACAATGCTCATAGCTAATAAAGTTACCCAGAAAGACATAAGACCGCAGTAAAAATCACCAAATTGGAGTATACTACCTCTAATAATGCAGTAGGCGACTTGAGCTGGAGCATCACAAGCGTGGTAGAACGTCGAGAAGACCATAGTGAAGGTGTACATCATTGCTTCTGAATAGTAGTACCTGATGATGGCCACGTAGATGGAGAAGAAGAAGAGAAGATTGCTTAAAGTGAGCAAAAGAACAGAGATCAACATGTAGATTCGACTGTCCATTCTAGAATCATCAGAACAGTCCCAACCTGGAAAAGACAAATGAACATTTAAAATTATACAAATACTACTGTCGCCCGTGACCTCGCCCGCGCCGGAAAAAAAAAATTAGTAACCAATGTGTTGTTCCAGACTTTATCAACATCTATGCTAAATTTCAGTGAGTTCCATTGAGCTGTTCATGAGATACGTTCAAACACCCATCCATCCATACATACAAACTTTCATCATCAGCTCACTATACGCCCCCACCGAGGGGCTCGGAGCCTACCCTAAATTACGGGTGACTAGGCCATAGTCAACCACGCTGTCCAAGTGCGGGCTCGTTGACTTCACACATATCTTTGAACTTCTTCTCAGATATGTGCAGGTTGCATCACCGTAACAACGATGTTTTCCTTCACCGTAACAACGTCTGATAAATGTACATATGTAACTCGGAAAACACATTGGTATATGGTGAGATTCAAACCCAGGAACTGCAGATTGCAAGTCAAGCACTGACCCCTGAGCCACCGACGCTCTGCATACATAGAAACATTCGCATTTATTATATTAGTAAGTTAAGTTAAAATCACTTACTTCCATATCCCGCTGAACATGAACAGAAGGACATCACCAAGCCACCAAAGGTATTCAAGCCGCAGTTACCATGGTTACTGCATCTCCCGCTCAGACATGAGGTAGACGACAAGGACAGAACAACAGTGGTATTGCAAACGCTCTCTCCCTGTCTTGTATTGTTCAATGAACTTGCAATATCTTCGTCTCTGTCTATCACCTTAGGATCGACGTAGTATTTGGTCCCGTTGTCTGACGTGCGACAAGGACAGACGACCTCATCACAGAATAATCGGAAGGTTATATACCATGTACCACTGTCAGGGTAAGGTATTATCACTTTGTCGTAAATTGACTCTGAATCTGTGCTGTTTAGAACGAATAGAGCCGGTTTGACGTGATCATTAAATTTGCAATGACCTGTCTTCAATGGCAAACTAGCGTGACCGATGTCCATACATATAACGACCTTAAAAAACTGATTCTTTTCAGTAAATTCAAGTAAACCGCTTTTAGTCACCTCTCTTTTATATCCCATATAATATTTATAGTTCATAAACAGGCTCGCTTCTATCGCAAAATTGCCACCGATATCCAAAAACTGATTGACTCTAAACCTCAAACTTTTTACATCGCCCGACGTGAGATTGACTAGACTGGTGGCGTCGTGAAGGTCAGTAGTGGGTAGACCGTAATCGAAAGTGAAAAATCTACCTTTATCATCGCGCATAAGGTCCAATGTCGTTTGATTTGCGATATCATCTAGATCTGAACGGAGATAATATGATTCGCAGTCTGCGTATTTAGTTGCATTGCCTAAGATGTTTTCGAGTTGCACGTAATGCCACGAATTAGGAAACGGATTGAAGGTAATTGTCTGTTCGTTGTTGAGTCTTGGATCAAACGCGCAGGATATTAGATAATTGTCCTCTGTCGGTAATGATAAAGATTGGACTCTGAATAGTATTACCGAGTTTTTAGTTGAAGTATTTTTTATGGTCAAATTTAATGTTAACGGTTCTGAATTATCTAAGGACATGCATTTGAATGACACTGGTATTCTATTATAGTCGATATTTATTCCTGAATAGCAGTCAATAAGGCTTATATTCGTTTCTCTTCTTACTTGTAAATCTGTGTACAGAATTGTGTGACAATCTGCTACTAAGCCTGAAAAAGAATAATCCTATATCAAAAACAATATTACTATTTATAATATTAATTTAAGAACAGGATGGGAAGTGGTAGTGGACTTTCCGGATGAGAGAATGCATGGAAAGGGAAATATTCTCTTTCTGTGCATCCTCTCCTCCGTCGATTAAATGTAGACAACGCATATGCAATTACGTATGTCTATGGGCAACGGTCACTTCGCTATTTCAGCGATTTCAGGTGGCCGCTCGCTCGTTTGCCACCTTATGATATAAATAAAGACTATGTTTTATATCTATTCCAAATTTCAACGAGATCCAGTTCTCGAGATACCTTCAAACATCCATCCATTTCGCATTTATTATATTAATAAGAAGTGAGATTAGGCATACGTACATATTATCTTAACTTTAATTTTAAGTAGATCGATATCGTTTGTTTCGTAATTATTATTAAAATAATTGATAAAGAAATGAATCACTCTGTTTGTTCATGTAAAAAATCATTTGGATGTTTCCTATGGGGCTCGTCGTTCATGCGAAGATTAGACGAGGGGAGGGATTTTTAAAACACATATATGAACCAGTTTCAATACATGATCTTCTTAGCATCTAATAACGTGTATGATGGTTAAATAATGTATTCTAGCTTACTAATATTATAAATGCGAATGTTTAGAGGGATGGATGTTTGTTTGAAGGTATCTCCGGAACAGCTGGATGAATCTCGCTGAAATTTGGCATAGATGTATAATAGAACATAGTCTGGAAGAACATACTTATTAAGTTTGTTTCTAGTTCCGCAAGGACAGAGTTCGTGCGATAGCTATTCTAAAATATAATCAATAGATTAGGCTTAATAAATCTTTTGTCGCGATTACGTACGTGCGGAATTAAAAAAAAATTAGTAGCCTATGTGTTCTTCCAAACTATGATCTACATATGTGCGAAATTTCTTCGAGATCCGTTGAGCGGTTCTGGAGATACCGTGTACCAAAGATTGTTGTCTCTTTATTTACAAATAATCAAATGAATAAATATATTTTTATATAATTAATTCGATAGTAGAATCTTACAGATGTACATAACGTACTATGTATATATAATAAAGCCAATTGTCACAAAACTGGGACAGGAAGTACTGTCAATGCGAGCGTCGAGGACGTGCGGTGATTCGTTTATTATGCGTTTTATTTTATCTACCCACGTCTGTGGTTATTTGATATGACTGCTATATGATCCGTTCATTCTTAAATAACGAAGATAATAAAACTGACAGTATTATGTTTGATTCATTGAATTTAACTATAATTGCTTATAGCTAAAATAATTACGTATATTCGATTTATAATTAGAGAAATACTCTTTAGTAACTAGTAATTAATTAAAAACCATTAAAAAAGTAATTTTGAGACAATTTTTTAATCATTTGAAATCAAACATCTCATGATGGCAGTTTTAAAATCATTAACTATGACTTTTCGTTACAGAAACAACCATAAATTTTTATTTTTTTTATATTATAAGTTGGCAAACGAACAAGCTGCCACCTGAAATCGCGTAGCGATTAATTAATTATACCGTCAACTCAATCTTTTAACATAAATATGTTACAATAATGATATATTTATTATTACTAGTTGTGTAAAAAAATTCTGTCTGTGTTAATTTCATCTAGATCAATTGAGCCGTTCTCGAATTACGTGATAACAAACATTCATCCATCCAAACTTAAAAATGTGTTTAAAATAATCTACTAAAAATTTAAATACATACTTATGTGGACAATCTAATCACAAAAAAATAATTAATTTACCTTGTTGCTCAACTTTCTGTGTCCTAGGATCTTCCCATTTGATATAAACCAGTGCATACCAGTTACCAGGTCTAGGATTACGTATGGAATATGTCCTGTTCTTGCCGTCAGACAGCAATTCTATTGTATGAATATGCTCTCTTGTTGCTGGTTCAACAAAATGCTTAGGAAATGCATACCCATCAGGATTAACTGCAGGATAGGACCCATGTTTTATGTTCACAATCACATCTTGAGGACTGCAGGAACCTAGGGATGTAAATTTTTTATGTTAATTTGGTGTACAGTGCAAGTGATAGTCAAAGCAGGAAAATATAAAATTTAATAGATAAATGAAGTGAGGGGTGAATATTATCATTAAAACATCACCTATCTTAAAGAAAAATGTGTTGTTTTTAAGTTAATTATGAAGTGTACACTATTATTTTTTACTTTTTTGTATTTCTATAAATTTATAAATAGACTAGCTGTGCATGTTATTTTAGTGTATGTACCATATATATAATTATATACATGTAGTAAAAAACAGTAATTTCAATATTACAATCAGACAATTTGTATGTATAGATAAATATATGTCTCCCTAAAAATGGATAACATGCGTTATTATAATCGGTTTGAAATTTATGGCGATATCTTCCAATCCATAATGTTAAATTCCCTGTAAAGATATAAAACCTACCAATATTATTCAGGTGAAGTTCCTCTGACTGCAAAGTAAACCGGGCATCGGTAACATCGGGCACGATGTGATATAGTAGTACGGCAACAGTACGATAACTTCTGTACATATAAACATCGGTCGCAATCTGCCTTGTCACTAAATTATAATTCTCTAGGATTACCGTCCGTGTTTTTGTCAATTGCTCTATTATGCTTTTCCTTTTACTATCATCTTCTGATTCTTTATCACCATTACTTCTCACACAACACACATACAACAACAAAAAATAGTAAACTTTCATTTTATTTACAATTATCCTACCTGAGAAATAAAACTCGCAAGTGACGGTTTGTAAATTACAACTTTTGTATATTTAAACACTTAAAAATATTGTAGGGATTCAACTATTATTACTTATTTAATATTTAATAAAAATATAAATAATTAACGGACGGCACCCATAATATTAACATAATCGATCGGACCAACCATCGAGCACGACAAAAACTCAAAAGCAAAAGTCAAAAGTCCAACAGAGTCCTATAAAGTGTCAATGTCAAAAGTTAATTTAATTAAATTGACGGTGACAGTTACGCTTTTTGTTCCGAAATAGTCGATCCTTAGTCGGTTCCATCTTTTTCTTTAGGTAGAGATTAGTAGAAATAGCAAATTTCAAATTGAGGTAAAGAATACATACTTCGAAAAGTTAAAGTATTTATTAATAAAAAGCTTATTTGTAAACCTTTGGGAAAATTAAAGATTGTATACTCTTTGGCGTGCAAATTGTCTATGATCCTCTTCTTTAACTTTTTGTAATCTTTGAAATAATTATACGTTCGGTTTCTGCGCGCGCATGTCTCGCTAGTTTGTATAAATTTTCGAATTTTTGCACTCCTGAAAATAATGGCTTCGACTACAAATTCGAAGCAACCCCAAGTTAACGGGGAGCTTCCCTGCTTCAAAAAGTTTATGATGGAAAATAAGAATAAAGTGACTGTAGTGCTGGGTGCTCAGTGGGGTGATGAAGGTAAAGGAAAAGTGGTGGATTTACTGGCTGTAAATTCTGACATCGTGTGTCGCTGCCAGGTAAATATGTATTACTTAATATTAAAAATTAATACAAAAGTAATAATAAGAATAGATATAATTTTCACAACGTATAAATAGTTTTTGTAAATACAAAAAAATATACATTGTTGACCAAATATTGAGGTTATATTACAATATCAATAGTGTTTGTTTTTATTGTAATATTTTCCCTTCTCTAAGAATTTTTTTTTTTAAATCCTCAGTTGTTCAGTTTGATATTGATAGTAAATGAAAGCACGCTTGGCATCTTGCCATTTTGTTTGGAAACATGCGAACTATGTTTTTGTATTATTTTTCTTATAATTGCGGGGAGTTTAAGCGGGAAATTGCGTAAGCATTGTACGTTTTAAATCACTTACGTAACATTATTCATGCATATTCTCGCAAGAGATGCAAGATCATTTTTTTTTCAAGTCATGTGACGGACATCGATTGGTCGTCGTAAATAACGCTTTGAAGTTGCCTGTAGTTGTGGATAACTGCCAAGGTCTTGGGCATTTATTGTCATGGTTACTGGCGGCGTCTCGTATATACAAATAAGCTTTTTTTGTTGGCTGGAGCTATATCTAATTATAAAATCTACTATGACTTTCTAACTTGGCATTGGTATATTTTGTTATAAATTTACGAAAATTTACTATATTAGTATATGTGTTGCTAGTATAAATATTAAATAAGGAATTAGAAACTGCTTAATTAATGTACTATGAGATTAACTTACTCCTAACGGTTTCAAATAAGATTTCTCATAAGCTTAATTTTATTCGACCAATGTTATTTCGGTTTAAAGTCTAACTACTGCTACTTTTATAACTTACTATGTTGCTTGTTACTCAAAATCCAACCATAATTCATAGTTAAAGTTTTATTAATTGGAAAAAAAATTGTTTCGAATTTCAAAATCTGCACAATTCCCTTAAAAATGGTACAAAGATAACTAACACTAATGCAAGTATTAATTTACATATATGTAGTTTAAAGATGCAACGCAATGATTGTATGTGTGAGTAATATATCATACATATCTGGATGTAACAGCTTTATGCTTGTTATATCATAATATTTATGTTAATTAGTCATCAATTGAACTTGCATTTACTGGCCGGAACTGGTTATTTTATGTATTAATAAACCTATATAGAGTGCATACCCAGTTGAAATAAATTTATGAGGATAAAATAACTTTGTTAAGAGATTATTTAACATTCTTTGTTGAAAATTTTGCAAACTGTATGCGATGTTGTAATACTTTTATCTTGATTGTCTTACACGATTGTTTATAACTCAAGATATGTAGAGCCTTGAGAGTTGATAAGAATATCCATAAAATGTTTCATACGGAAATATTGTATTGAAGTTTACTTTGTAATGTTTAAGAGGTCGAACACATCATGTGATTGCACATAGTCTACTTGTTTGATATGAAAGCTATAATAACCAACATCCACTTTACCTGTCCTCTGTGTGGGTTAATTAGTAAAAAATGTTGTCTGCTCAATTTCTTACAGTACTGTTATCGATAAAAGTCACTTTTTCTGGTAATTAGACTAATTTAATTTATTCATATCACCATATATCCAATACCCATAACTAATACTTGCTTCGTACTGGAATTCCCCGAACTTAACAACAATGGTCAGTTAAATTAGCTAACCCATAACATGGTCCGGTCCATATATATATTGTACGGGGAATCCCCGCAAATTCTACTGAACAATAATACTATAGTCACTCAGGGGTGAAACACTTGATTTGCAATCTGCATGTCTTGTGTTCGAATCCCGCCATGTAAATGTGTTTTTTGATTATCAATTTACGTATGTACATTTATTTAAGCAAGGTAGCTGATAAATACGATATTAACTTTTAATTCTTATACTACAGTTAATAGGGTAACATACCCAGTTATTGCCTACCCAGGATTTTTATAGGTATGTGACGGAAATCGGACAGAACTTCACAAGTTCTAAATTGGGAAAGAATACCTAATAGCTTAATTTTATTAGCATTGATATATTTATAATAACTGTATTGATTTCTAGTTTCTGTATAATCACGCCTGGTCCAATTTTCCGTTGACGAATAACAAAAGCAAGGTTGCTTTCATAACGGTTTTTAGTATACTACGATTCTTGCAACATTGTCCAACAAAGAGTAATTTATTACTCTTAATTTGATATTACGAAATAGAAAACTGTTTAGCCTTGTATTGATAGGTTCTGAAATAAATAATTGTTTTTATAAATTGTCTATGAAATGTTGGTTTATAAAGAATTCATGCTAAGATAATATTTGCCTTTATTTTTATGATTAAAATCATAGAATTCTTATAGGATATCGCATAACAATAATTGGGATAGTATTAATCTTGATTCTTACTAATATTTTTGATAGATGGATGGATGTTTGAATGATGGTATGTATCTCCAAAACGTCTGCCTGAAGAACACATAGGCTACTAATTAAGTTTTTTTTTAATCCCGTGCGGACGGAGTCGCGAGCGACAGCTGTGATACATTTAAGTTTTTTTTATATATATATTTTTATTATAATTAGTGTCGTTTACTTTTAAGTTTTTGTGATTGCGATGTGTTTTAATATACGAAAATCAAAAGCCAAACGTTCTAACAGTGGCGAATGTATTTAGCTAGTTTGTTTCGCAAAATAAAACATTGTAATGTAGTCATATCAAACACGTGTAAGTAAATGAGGATTTATACGATTGCAACACTGTGACAGATTGTTTTGTGATAACTGTTGAGTAAACAGTTACTGTGGGTTTCCGAGACCAAAAATCTCTGTTTAAAATTTTCCTTTACCAAAGACAATATGTGTTATACACGGTATTTGACGTCAGCAACTCACGGTAAATTGTTTGTTTTTTAAAAATGATGTTAAAAGTTTGAATCGACTACTAATCGTGAGTTACTGTCGAAAATAATCACATGACAACCTGTTATATTTATCTTTAAAAAGGCCTTATGCCCGACGCCCAGGGCGGTCGCCCAACCCTAACGCAGCCTCTGTGATTTCTCAATGTTGATGGGTGATAATTTAAAACTTTTTAATTTTTTCCCAGGGCGGTAACAATGCTGGTCACACCGTGGTGGTGGATGGCAAGGAGTTTGACTTCCATCTCCTGCCCAGTGGTATCATCAATACGAAGTGTATATCTGTGATAGGTGAGTGCATTTTATGGTTACTAGCTGTCGCCCGCGACAACGTCTGTAGGGAACTAAAAAAATTATCTATATGTTCTCGGTGCTAAATTTGAGTCAGATACATTTTTTTTTTATATCATAAGGTGGCAAACGAGCGAGCGGCCACCTGAAATCGCTAAAATAGCGAAGTGACCGTTGCCCATAGACTTACGCAATTGCATAAACGTTGCCTATCTTTAATCGACGGAGGAAAGGATGCACAGAAAGAAAATATTTTCTCTTTCCATGCATCCTCTCATCCGGAAAGTCCACTTCCACTTCCCATCCTTTCCTTACAAGAAAAAGGGTGGGAAGGACTAAATAAGGCCTCCGAGACGCACACTCATCAGACGAAACGCGGAATTGCTTCCACTTCACGCCTGTCTTCTGTGTGTCACATTTAGCCGTTCTGAAGATATGCAATCACAAATAACCATCTACACATTCGCATTTATAATATTAGTAAGATGAAGAACCCAAACCTATAGTTTTTTACGGAACGAAGTATCCGGCTTTAGATTACTGAAGAATTTTATTATAATACATATATTTACATAGGCGAAAGTAGTGGAAACTTTAATATAACGTTAACGAACAGAGCTAGGCAAAGTGCATTCGCTCCGAAGCAATTCCATAGCGAACTTCAAAAATGTATGGAACTGACGCGTGACAGTCACGTGACTTATCTAAAGTTAATGTCAGTTCTATAAATTTTTTGAAGTTCTTTATGGAAAGGCTTCGGAGCGAATGCACTTTGTAAAGCCCCGTAGATCAATGTATACTGGTGATATTTGTCTGGAGTGTTGAAAATATATTTGCTTGGATATATCAGAGCATCAGTTGATTGGATGTATTGCAAGTGTCAATGTAAACTGGTTTGAATCGGTACTGTTGGCAGCGAAACTGATTGGCGTGTAATTGCTTTCGGACGTTGACAGCTTTGTGTTACTCCTCAACACAATCGAAACAATAATAAATTGTACGAGGAAAAAAAAACAAAAAACATACAGGATGGAGAATCTTTTTTGAAGTCGTCGTAATAAAGTTTTCTGTGGGCCTGACACCAATGTTTGTGACATTAGCCAATATCAAATAAGTAAGAGATGAAATCAAACTTAGTTAAAAGGAGTTCTAATCAAACTCGCTCACATATTTTTTCTCTTAATACCGAATATGCAGACAAGTTCTTTAATAGAGATTATATCGATTACAGCCTCACTAGCTGTTGCCTGTGACTCCGTCCGTGCAGTTAAAAAATAATTAGTGGCCTATGTTTTCTTCCAGACCATGTTCTACATCTATGTCAAATTTCAGCGATATTCATGCATTATGCATCATAATAAACTTATATAAAAACGGCTAAACACTCACGTATGTTGATCCGGTGGCGGCACCGACTAATTTCGAACGCGGCCCGCGAAATAATACCAGTCCCACTCATCCTCATTAAGGGCCCCTGATGGGCTCCTGGACGAATATACGTGAGTGTTTAGCCGTTTTTATGTAAGTTTATTCATGCCGCCGTTTCGGAGATACCTTCAATCAAACATCAATCCATCCAAATATTCGCATTCATATTAGTAAGATTATAATATTACGAAGATTCTGATAAACGATTGCGATGCGGCACATAACATGCGATGTTGCAGAATAATACTCATTTGATCTAACGCCAAAAAGTTAGGTTACACTGCAGAGCTGACCTTATTAGGGATTACGTTAACCACCTTGAACTTTTACGTCTTTGCCTGTATTTGTTCTTTTTAGATGGAGAGATATCACAAATAGGTTACTAGTTGGGTTTGTATTTTGAAATATAAACTTGTATTCTGTTCGTTTATTTTCAACCCCCTTTACGAATATTCTTTTCAGCCCCCTTTAGGTGACATGTGTATTTTATTAATATTATAAAATAAACACATTGTCTAGAAATTTATCGCCATGTTTTTTACTAGTTCAAAAAATATTGGTGTCTGAGACCGGAATTCCTGTATGAAACATATCGTCATCCCTCTCATTATCTTTGACATAAGAGAGATCTCAGAAATCTATATATATAAAAGAAAGTCGTGTTAGTTACACTATTTATAACTCAAGAACGGCTTTACCGATATGTCTGAATATTGGCGAGGAGGTAGCTTAGAGGCAGGAGACGGACATAGGATACTATTTATTCTTTTTTTTTTCGAATTTATGCCTTGAAGAGCTGCTTTTTATTTAACTTACTAATATTATAAATGCGAATGTTTAGATTGATGTGATATGGATAGATGGATAGGTAGGCTACACTAATTAAGTTTTTTATATATCCACGCGGTCAGAGTCGCGGGCGACAGGTAGTTTATTATAAGTGAGACAATTTTTTGTTAAATTTCTATAAAGTTTTATTTCTATTTAAAACAATTTTATTGGAGTTCTTTTACTTACATTTTTATTTCGGGAAATTGATAGTGAGTTTACTTTGACCGATAACGCCCTCTATCCTTGATTTGGCGCCAAAAGATTGCATCATTCGTTACACAAGATGTGCGAAAACGTATAACATTGTATATACTCTCAATGAAATTTACAAGCAGTTCTAATAATGTATAGGATAAAAATAAATAAGACCTAGGCATTGAAGAGGGGCGTGTTACTCGTGACGACTCGTTAAAAACATTAGTTGAGCCAAACGTTTTTATAGTTTGTATATTTAAGACGCTATGGCTTGTTAAAAAGTTTGGATGGATGGATGTATGTTAGAAGTTATCTCTAGAACGGCTGCATGGATCTCGCTGCAATTTGACATAGATGTAAAGTAAAGCTTGGAAGAACACGAAGCTACTAATTAAGTTTTTTTCTTAATAAAGCACCGGCACGAACGATGTCGCGGGCGACTGCTAGTTTATATAGTTCTTTCCATATAATTTTGATATTTTCTTATCGCGTATCTTGGAGTAGAGAAAGACTGTCTTGTAAGTGTAAAGGTGATGCCATACAGCGGAAGTTGCTATCTCAACTTTCTTTTCAAGCGTTTTTTTTTCTGATGATGATCTGAACCCATATAATTGGGATGTCTAGCACAAAAATAGACGTATTGAAAAAAGTACAGAGATATATATATATATATATATATATATATATATATATATATTTATATCATAAGGTGGCAAACGAGCGAGTGTCACATGGAATCGCTGAAATAGCCAAGTGACCGCTGCCCGTAGACATACGCAATTGCATATGCGTTACCTACCTTTAATCGACGGAGAAGAAGATGCACAGAATGAAAATATTTTCCCTTTTCTCTCGTCCGGGAAATCCACTTCCACTTTCTATCCTTTCCTTATAAGATAAAAGATAGGAAGGGAAAGAGGACTAAATAAGGCCACACGGGACAAAACTTTTCTTTTTGTTTAATGAATTGTAATTATTTCTATTCATGACATTAATTACTAATTGCCTCGCGTGCAGTAACAAGCCGTATTAGGACCGAGCAACCTATTTATATCGTGCTCTAAATGTAAATACAATTTCATTACTGATAAATCATTTTGCATGCAGCTTAATGTTTTGCAGTAAAAATTATTAGGGGAACATTGAAATAAATATCTACGTCGTACCCTGTACAATAAGGTACGGTTGCTAATAACGATTGTTTCAAAAAAATATTCAAGGCAATGGTTTATTATTCTAAATGACTGTTCGTTTGTTTATAATTGTCTCTGCGTTTCTTGCGGTATTGAAAAAAAGAAAATCTGCTTCTTTAAAACAGTTATGAACTGTAGGTTAAATTGTAACTGGTTAGTTTTAAATGACATCAAATTTGCGATAAATCTTGGGTTTTTCTATCGCTATCACTAAGGTCCTTCGTACACAACAACGTAAATCGAAACGTCGAGAATCGCGTGGCGCGTCCTCCGTACACAACATTGAATCGTCGACGCGAAGCGTCTTTGGTCAGTACAGACGTAGTGATTACATATCGACTGTATAGATTTGCTTCGTTACTTAAAAAGTTGCAGCGGCTTGTCTCCCGATCTCTACAAATAGGTCTCAAGCCGTCTTTGACAATGACAGCTGGAAATATCGGCGATGCGCTATACGAACCTCTATGACAGTGTAGTACGTAAAGCAGCTTAGCGACTATATTCGTCAGGAAGGCTTTAGAGATTAGTTTTTGTAATTGTGTCCTTTGTAAGTAGGTTTTTGTTGAATTCACATCGACTTTTATATAACCAATATGTTTGAGTTGATATATGTATATTACAGAGGGTAGATAAGGTCTTGTTATTCATTCATTTTACGCGATTACCTTGATATTGTCGTGAGTCAGTGTTCGAGTTCAATGTATATTTTAATGGATGTATCTGCTTGATGTTCCATTACTTTTTAATATTTATATGTCTACACTAGTTAAAAATAAAAAAAAGAATGGAAAAAGCCTATGTTGTTTTCCAGACTATGTTCTACCACTGTGCCAAATTTCATCACGGTCTGTTGAGCCGTTCCGGAGATACCTTCTAACATCCATCCATCTAAATATTTGCATTTATAAATTAACGAGCTGTCGCCCGCGACTCCGTCCGCGCGGGATTAAAAATAGATGTTGGCCGATTCTCAGACCTATTCAATATGCTCACAAAATTTCATGAGAATCGGTCATGCCGTTTCGGAGGAGTATGGGAACGAAAATTGTGACACGAGAATGTTATATATAAGATAAAAGTTTAATTTAGATATTTTATAAATGAGTAGTTTTTAATGTTGAAGAGGCGACGGCGATCTGATGATGGCAGTTAATTATGCCGCGTGCTATTCGACTATTTGTAATTTTTATGAGTCATGGGTAATTCAATTAAGATTGAGTACCTGCAGGTCAAATCACGATTCACTTGTGTGGAGCAGATCAGTGAACCGGGTCACTGATCAGCTCTTTTTTTGTTTTGTTTGAGTTTTTGTGATACGAACTGCAAGTCACCAGGCAGTTTTGGGCTCGTCAGTTCACATAATTAGTACATTGCGATGAGTTGTTGCCTACCAATTTGGTTGTTGTGCTACAGCTTAACGGTTCAAGTCTATGTGACGATCTTTTGAATGGGTTCAGAGCAGATTTGCAGGTCTAATTTTTATCGTTAGACATTATCGCGGCACCTTATGTATAACTTTAATTACTGTTTAATTTTAAACTTTTCACCGTCGGCTATTCAGTGGTCATTGTTTACAGGTAATGGCGTGGTCATCCACATTCCGGGGCTGTTCGAAGAGTTAAAGAAGAACGAGCTGAAAGGCATGCAAGGATGGCAGGAACGCCTTATCGTATCTGACAGAGCACACATCGTGTTTGATTTACATCAACAGGTATGATGATTGATATCCGGCTCGAAGGACCAAGTTCAGCCAAGTCTTGAGTGCGTCAGTAATTGTAATGTCAGTGTAGTTTTAGTACGGGAAATCTACGCTAAAGTTCTCATTAATGACTGAGTGCGGTAGTTATTGTAATAACACAAAACAGATATATTTATCTATTTTGTTTGGAAATAGCGCGATGTTTGCAACCACTTACGTCATCGTTGTTAATACGTGACTCACTATAGATTATGGTTATAAGATTTCAAGGTTAAATCATTGAAAGAGGTTTTATGCTCGCTAATAAATTTCTTAAAGAGTTTACTCTATCAATTGACTAGATGTTGTCCGTCCGCCTGGTATTAACTTAATTAATAGCCTATATATTCTTCCATTTCTAATATTAATCACATTTTCCTTCAGGCGGATGGTCTGCAAGAGGCAGAAAAAGGCAAGAATTCACTAGGCACTACCAAGAAAGGCATCGGCCCGACTTACTCGTCGAAGGCGACTCGTAATGGCGTCAGAATCGGAGATCTTCTGGGTGATTTTTCTGTATTTGAGGAAAAGTAAGTAAATAAGGGGATAAGTAATTTAAAAAAATGAGATTTACAGTATTAAAGTTTAATAAAATTAAGGGAACAATCCTAAAGGGTTTGTCAAAATTGTTAAAAAAAAATGGTGGTTGTCAAGTTTTTTTTTATATTTTTAAAGAAATTATATTATAAACATAAATTTAAATTACTAATTCCAATAAAAGACACGATATTTTCTTTTATTTAATGATTTTGTACAGATTCCGTACTCTAGCTGCGGGCTACAAGCGAATGTTCCCAGCATTAGAAGTGGACATAGAGAGTGAATTGGCAAGATACAGAGAGTACGCGGACAGAATCCGTCCCCTGGTGAAAGACACTGTCGCCTACCTCCACAGGGAGATAAAGCTTGGCAAGAAAGTGTTGGTGGAGGGAGCTAATGCCGCCATGTTGGATATTGATTTTGGTATGTATACTAGCTGGCGACCGCGACTCCTTCCGTAGGGAATAAAAAAAAACTTAGTAGCCTATGTGTTCTTACAGACTATGGTCTATATGTATGCCAAATTTCAGCGTGATCCATGCAGATGTTCTGGAGATATCTTCAAACAAACATCCATACAAATATTCACATTTATATTATTCGTAAGATATTCCTCTGTTCCTATTCCTTTTCTTTAAGACTATAATAAGTTATATTATGTGTCACTGCCGTATACTACAATTAAAAAAATGTTGGTCCTTCGAGCCGGATTTCTTTAAATATGTTACAGCAAGTACAAAATCTAATTTTATCGATAATTTTTAAAATTGAAAATGAATAATATAATAGCTTACTTATGTATAAATGTATTTGTCTCAGGTACATATCCGTACGTGACGTCATCAAACTGCAGTATCGGAGGCGTGTGTACCGGGCTGGGGTTGCCGCCGAACGTCATCGGTGACGTGATTGGCGTCGTCAAGGCGTACACGACGCGCGTCGGCGACGGACCCTTCCCCACAGAGCTGCACGATGTTAGTACATTGTAATAAATCTAGGAATGTTACAGTCTGAAGCAAGATCTAGCCAATTTCAATTCAGTCTTCAAGAAGAGCGTATATAGAAGGCAAGCCTTTAGTGGAAATAATTCCTGATTTCGTTTGATGAGTTGACTAGACTTCCCCTTTCCATTGTATTCTCATAAGGAAGGTTTGGGTAGGGGAATTTGATTTGGCAGGAAAGAGACGCTAAAGGGGAAATATCCATGTTGTATAAATGTGATGTGCAGGAGACAGGTAAGCTGCTGCAGGAGCGCGGGCACGAGGTGGGGGTGACGACGCGGCGAGTGCGGCGCTGCGGCTGGCTCGACCTCGTCGTAGTCAAGTACACCGCCATGGTCAACGGATACACTTCGTTAGTACTCTTTTTGTTTTTTTTTGCTCGTAACTGTATTATGTGGTGTTAATTTCTTTGGTTTAAAAATTGTAAACGTCAAAGTTTGGAATTAAAAATATTTTTGGAAACTCATGGTACTATCGGGGCATTTGGTGGTATACCACTTTAAATGTTACAGTCTATGGAACGTTTCTTAAGTATTGCGAAGACATGGAAACAATTACTAATAGGAAGTAGCTTTTAACTATGTTAGTGGTACAAGACTAATTGATTTTTACTATTATTCTCTTGTTTGCGCAACTCACTACATACTTGGTTATATAACAAGGCAATTTTTGTATAAATGTAACACCGCGAATTGCCCTGACTGTATATTTTTGACCGATATATCTTTAAATGGTCCTTGTTTCAATAAATATTATCTTCTCTACAGTATATGTCTGACGAAGCTGGACATCTTGGATACACTAAAGGAGATGAAGATCGGTGTCGCGTATAAGCTGGACGGGAAAAAGTTACACTACTTCCCCTCCTCTATGCATGAACTCAGCAATGTTGAGGTTTGTTCAAATTTTATTATCCGGTTTGGCACGTATGTAATAAATGTACTCTTCTACCTGACGTGCCAACTTAATTAACGGTTTATACATGTAATATATGTGTAGCGTCATAATTCTTTAATATTCATTGAGGAAGCTAAAATACATTTTTTTTTGAGTGGAGCAGATGGTGCTTCTGATAATTTCACATATGAAAACATGTAATTTTATATGTGAAATTATCTATACATAAAAATAAAAGGAATTTATGTATTTGCGTTGCTGATAGCAAAAACCAATTTTTTAAATTTTCCGGATTTTACCGGGTGATCTTCGGAAAGGTTTGAACGATTTTGACCTGACTTTGATGAGAATGTAGCTGGAATATGTCCACGGCTATACACGGACATATAGGCTACTTTTTTCTGCATGTAAATTAATATTTACATATTGAATAAATTTCCAGGTGGATTATATCACACTGCCAGGTTGGGATTGCAAGATCGAGGATGTCCGGCAAATGGAAAACTTACCGGAGCAGGCGAGGCAATATGTTAAAACTATTGAAGACTTCCTACAGATCCCGGGTAACATTCTTTTTTATTAACTCCAACTTAGAGAACGACTGGAACGGGCAAGTTTTTTTTGTCGGAATATTTTTTTATTTGTAGTAGAAGAATTAAGATACTGATAACTACATTCTATCCGACTAATAGGGGTTAGTGTTTTTTTATGTGTTTAGCCTTATAATAGCTTTTCAACATCCTTGATTTAGTAGGCTCCGAGCCCCTTGGTGGTGGGGGTGGAGGTATAGTGAGCTGATAAGCGAGCTACTCAACAGTGTTAAAATTTTTCAAATAGGTTCAGTAGTTTTTGACCCCATTCAATGCAAACAAACAATCAAATATTTCCTCTTTATAAATTAGTATATGTTAATTAATAAATTGCAGTATTAATTGAATAGACGAGTTTTGAACAAATTAATGTATAATGTACAGTCAAGACACTTCGCGGTGTTCCATTTATACGTAGTAATATAGTCTTAACAATGTTTTAAATCGTTTTTTTATTTATTTCAGTGAAATACATCGGTGTAGGACAAGGACGGGAGTCTATCATCAGGGCGGAATAACACAGCACGTGACGTCACAGCGCACCGCTTCCTGTACTAGACAATTGTATCACTTTACTATAGCTCTGCTGGATAACTATCGCAATACATCACAAACTAGACTTTACAGTCGAGGACGTTTATTCCCTACCCATTTTATTTAAAATATTCTTTGTAACAACGTAATCTTGTCATTTGCAATGTATATTCAAATTTAATGGATATGAGAAATTGTATGAAACGTATTTACACAATTTTACCTTTACAATGCTGTAATCAATTTATTGAAAATGACCATTTTCGTGACAGCAATTTAAATGAAACTTTTCAAGATCCAAGAATCCATAGACAATGACTTTGTCAGTGTAAAAATATGTTAAATATTTTTTTTCATTTCCATTGAATTCGTCTTTACATTATAAATTGTACAGTGGGTTTCAAATATTGTGCCTACATATTTATGAGAAGCCTACAAAAGAAATTTATGAAAAGACAATACGTATTATAAGTGGTCAATAGTTCTCAGGTTATTGTGACAGTTTGCTGTTTTTCAATTCTAAGTGGGTAGCGAATTAATTTCTTTGACTGTAGCGTGAAATTTTTTTAATTGTTTGGTAATATCTTGAACTGTGTACTTGTCGTTATTCCAGCAACTTTTTTCTATATGTTTATTTACATTTTATGTGTTTTAATATTTTAAGGGTGGATTACATTCTTTCGTTTTCTATTTGCGTAAAAGTTTTCTCAATTTATATTTGTAATTGTTTAAAAAAAATCATGTGAAACATTCAAGAAATCTATATTGATTATTTAGATATTCCAAAATATTTAATATTTTACTTTAAATACCAAAATAATAAAAAACTGTTTCTTAGGATAATGGTACCAACACACTTGCATATAAAAATCTTGGGAGCATTGAAAGTGTTACCTCACAAGAGTAAAAATCCTAAGAATGTAGTGTAATTCTTCACGTATTTAAATCGAAATACTTAATTTTACAGTATTTCATTTAGTATTAATTGAGTAGATGGGTTTTACAAATTAGTGCTTAAAGTACAGTCAGGGCACTTCGCGGTGTTCAACTTAAAAATAAAAACCCTTGTTTCTTGAAATGAGATACTACGCCCCTTGAATAACCAATTAGGTAGCAGTGAATTGTACAAACAGCGTCATAATAGCAATTACCGTGAACTTCTGGACACCAAAATCACAGTTTAAAATATATTAACTCTTTCAAAGATAATGACTGGGATGACAATATGTTTTATACAGAGATTTTAGTCTCAGAAACCAACGGATACTCGTGTACCACTGAACTTTTTCGTACAGACATAAGCGTTCTATTGGTTATTGTGTCCGCGTTGTCTTAAAAAACTTTCAAATTTTTTAAGTGAAACACCGCTAAATTCCCCGATAGTACCACACAGACTCTCAGCTCTGAAAAATATAATATGTTCCAAGTCAATAAATAAATTTTGGAACAAATATATATTATAATTACGTATATTTTATTTACTATATATGAAGGTTATTACACTATTTTATAATATTCAGAAATGGTATACACGAATAAAGTGAAATAAAATGAATACATCAAATATTTTGAGTAAAAGTTTTTGTTTGTCTTTTGAATTTGGAACTAAAAATATAATCAAAAAATGTCTTAAAAAAAATTTCAGCCTTTATTTCGTGTCTATCTGTGTGACATTGAAATCGTTTTAAATACTTAACATAAACTGGATTATATCATGTTTTTTCTATCGATATTTTTTTTAACAAATTTAATTAAAACGTTTGTCGTTAAAAAGATTTCGTTTTTTAAATATTTTTACAGTGATTTCATGAGTATTTATGTGAGTTTGAAATTGTAGTTATTTTGGAATTTGAAAAATTGAATTATTCATCTTATTTATATTTATGATATAAACATTATTGAATTAACCAGGCCTAGCATTTTGTAAGCTAATAAATTCTTGTTCTTACTAAGTAGAAAAATATACAATTTTACGGCAAAACATAAATTAGTACTGAAATAGCAATATAAAAAATGTTAATTAACAGACTAAAATATTAGGTTCCTATTTGATGACTGAAAACCGACCAGAAAAATAAAGAAAAATTAACTAGATGTCGCCACTATATCTTTTATGGCAACACTCAACTCCAAAATGTTTCTTCGTTCGTCATTTAATAAAAAAAAACTTGCATTTTTTAAAAAACTTAAGTTTATTGACTTTACCAAGAAATGCGAGATTAAGCTCGCATTACTATAAAATTACACATAATTATTTTTTACTGGCAACATTTTTATTTTTCTGGTACGGTTTTCACACCTACAATATGTGCTTCATTTTAATTAGAAAATATAGTGTAATAAAAAGGCAATGCACAAACTGACGGCCATTTTGTGAGTTTCGAAATTAGTATTTACGGCGATTAGTTTTAAAAGTCAACTTACATGATGACTTCTTTAGGCATTTACCTAAAAAAGGGGCGAAAGCGAACCAAAACGAAACAAAGGCCCAATGGTAAAACGTGCTATTGGGATTGGTCCAACGGGAAATACTATTTAAAAATACGACTTCATAGGTTTTTATTAAAACTGGGTTCGCCTCGCTCGCAGTGGACTAGAGGCTTTAGTTCGTAGCTTTCAGAAGTCATTATATAAAAATGTTGGTACAAACTATTAGTATATAAAAAAGTAGTAAAATTTTTGGCAAATGCTGTTTTAGCGCCTTCAATTTCTATGAGGTTTGTAGAAAAAAAAGCAAGTAAAAATGCGTGTCATTCCGATGAACGTTTTGAAACATTTTTTATATGTACTTACATAAATCAAGGTCACTGTTTCGCTTTATACAGACATTTCGACGGCGTGTTTTATGTGATATCTATACTATTTTAAATGTAAATATTTTTTTTCATTATTACTATTATGCCAATAAAATAATGGTTTATTCTTTTTTGTGTTGTTTTATTTGTCCCTAATCGGTTTCCTTTGCCAGAAAAAAAACATCAAGCATTTAACTTTCTGTGCATCCTCTCCTCCATCGATTAAAAGTAGGTAACGCATATGCAATTGCGTATGTCTATGGGTAACGGTCACTTCGCTATTTCAGCGATTTCAGGTGACCGCTCGCTAGTTGATATAAAAAACGACAAAATAATGAATATTTTGTTATAATTAAATACAGGAGTAAAGCAAATAAAACTGCTTCAACATTTTTTTTTGCATTTATTCGAAATTCTTAATTCATATTTACAATATCAGTCAGTTAACACGACATTCTAACTTCTATTACATATAAAGCCAAGGAAACATCACATAGGAATATACAAGGTTATTTTATAATTACAAAAAAAACGTTACTTGTTATCAATACTAATATTAAATACATATTTTTTTATTTATTAAATATTTAAGAAATAAAAAAATATTCAAAACGAATATTTTCCTACAAAAACTTATTTATTGGTCTATTGCCTGATGAAGGACATAGGCTGCTTATTAACGCGAAAAAGGGGTTTGGAAATTTATATGGAAGTATCGTCATTTTTGACGTGGTCTATGGTTCTATGAATGTTTTATGAGTGAAATAAGTAGCCTAAATAAGTAAAATGCTACCCAAAGACAGAATTTCACACGGACGAAGTCGCGGGCACAGCTAGTTAACTATATAATTTAAGATCTTATATGTATTCTACATTTTTACTGGTAATTACAAAATAACCGTGTTTATAAATACGTTCTTATTAATTTTAAGGTTATAATATTAGTTATATCGTATAGTGACATTTACTGTCAAAGCATTTTATATTTGTAATGTTATTTGTAAACCATAGACACATTAAGTAGGATTCTGGCAGTAAAATTACAATGAAACAGTCGATTAAAGAATTTCAACCATAAATATGGCACATCTTTTTATAAACAGGAAAGCATCATCAGTATATAACCTAGAAATATTTTAAAACTATATACTTGATGTATATAATATAGTCATAAGAGAATCTTACACAATATTTAAAACATTAAATTGATTTTTTTTTCATCTTTTATATATAAAATTCTCGTGTCACAATTTTCGTTCCCATACTCCTCCGAGACGGCTTGACCGATTCTCATGAAATTTTGTGAGCATATTGAGAAGGTCTGAGAATCGGCCAACATCTATTTTTAATCCCGCGCGGACGGAGTCGCGGGCGACAGTATTTATGTAATTTTTTATATGCACACTTAAATACAAAAGGATAAAAATTTCAAGAAATTAAGTCAAAGCCGATATGTTTAACAAAAAAAAAATTATTTATGCATATCATTAAATAACAAAATAAACATTTTTTGTTGTTGAACATCTTCATCAGCTCACTATACGCCCCCACTGAGGGGCCCAGAGCTTACCCTAAGTTAGGGGAGACTAGGCCATAGTCAACCACGCTGTACAAGTGCGGGTTATATGTTGTATGTTGAACATATGTATGACAAAATTTTTGAAATATAATAAACTTTCAAAATGATATACCATTTTACCTGCACGTCCCTTTGTCAGTACAAAGCATTGTGGACTTTAATCCCTGCTATTAGGTGATATATTCCTTTCGCGCTTACCTTTGAGTTTAGGCGGCGCGCGGTGCCTGTCACGCTTACGGCTAGACGAGGAACAAGAAGAAGATGGGCTAGAGTCTGGAGGGGAACCTGCATCATCAGCTGTCAATCCCATAGTTTGTGACTCCGGTGTGGAAGGTTCCAGAACGCTGTTGCGTAAAGCTCGTCGTTGTTCCTCTGTGTGTTGTGGGCAACGTGTCGACCTGGAGAATTGAATTAAAAATAAAAACTAGATGAAGCCCGCGACTTCGTCCGGTCGGAAATATAAAAAACATAATAAGGAGTGTTCTTCCAGACTATGTTCTATATGCATGCCAGATTTCATCAAGATCCAATCAGCCGTCCTGGAGATACCTTCAAACAAACATCTATCCATCTAAACAAGTCTTTCCCAAAGTGGGCGATAACGCCCCCTTGTGGGCGCTGCAGGTCTCAAGTTGAGCGTTATAGTATAAGTTTCGTTTAGAATTCTCCGTTAATATACATATATAGGTCACAATAATTTATTAATTTGAAGTTATAGTGGTTTTTAAATATGTGAAAAAATGGGGGCGCTAAAAAAGTATTTATTCTCAAAGTTGGCAGTAGACAAAATAAGTTTGGGAACCACTGATCTAAACATTGGCATAATATTAGTAAGAAGTAAGATATATAGAAAATAGTAATTTATTTTCCATGCAAAAAGTATTGTTGAAGATAAACAAGTTTGGATTATTATTCTAGGACTACCTGGTACACAGTTTCTTTGTATGTTCGGAAACAACACCGCATATCTGAAGTAGGAGATTTTTCTTCTCGTTAGCTGACATTGTTTCATAGGTTGCACCACCGTCGTTGGAATCACAGTTTGTGGTACCATTGTTGGTTCTGCTACTGTTATTTCTGTTGGCAAATTCAATATTAAAGTTATATGATCAAAATATTACGTAACGAAAAAGTGTAATAAACAGTTTTAGGTTTAATACTTTGGAGGAAGCTGAAATAAAATTCAACCTAAACAATGACCATTAAAATTCAAGCTCAAAAGTACATGAAAAACAATAGCAGTAATAAACTTCTAGACAATTTTCTAACCTATAACTAAACTGAAATATATTTATATGAAAACATTATTCCACCTTAGTAAATGGTATATCATGTGAAAAATGTGACAATGCTTCATAATAAATACAGCCTAATCTTCGGTAAAAAAAATAGAGTCATTGTCTAGTCCTGACAGATAACCTCTATGTCCAAGAAACTCCAATTAGAGAATCTCTATAAAACAAGCGAAATATTGCAGTTTCATCAACTCTTGCTTATCTGGGTTTAACTATGTATAACTCTGTTATGTTATATGAAAGAAACACAATGCAACTGACTTGTGAACTTTTGCTGGTTTTCTACTATTGTTGTTCTTGATCCTACGCTTTCTTCTTTCAGTGTGTAGTGAGCCACCAGCCCAGTCCGCATCATCTTCATCATCACTCAGGAGTCCAGCATATGATGTAGGCTCTCGGCTGTTTGATGCTATTCGGCGTGATGCAATACGGGAACTGTTGCGACCCATACCTGATAGAAACAAAATGGTTTTATTATCATTTAAAAAAAAAAGATGCACTTTTTGGTTTCTACCCATTCCACAATTGAGAACACCAAAATTGTTATGACAATATTAATATGAAATTGAATGGTATTTAGCTGTTAAGTTAAATTAACTAACTAAATTAAATGAAAAGGATTGTATGTTCTGCGTTGGAAATAGTTTTAAGAACGCAAAATATTCAATAATCAATTACCTCATTATTTGGTTATACTATTAAAATTAGTGCCAATGATTTTTTAACTTACCCATGCATTTTTCTAAATGAGGTGCGAACCTTGTCGCGGAAACAGGTCGATCGCAGTTTGGGCAAACACAGTTTGTATCCTGGGTCTTTTTTAATACAGATAGGCCAAAGACATCGCATTCTGGTGAATTCACTATTTTAAAGCTGTCATCTTCCTCTTTTTCTCCCTCAATTAAATCTGTTAGACCAGTCTTAAGACCGTGATGAAACTCAAACACAAAACCCAAAGTAACATCGTCACAAACACTATCAAAAATAAAACTGGCCGCTTCCTCTGCATTATTCTCGTTTTGCATTATTTCAAAGAACTTTATATTAAGATCGTTCATACTTAGTTCACTTACTATTTTCGTCATTTTAAATCAATAAAAGTATATTTCTTTGGAAATTAACTCGATTCTGCCAATTTACTACCAAGCCTCGATATAATTTAGCAGAAATCATAAACACAGCTGACTGAATCTCAGGACCAAAGAGTATGTGACCACAGTGAAGTTAGAGTTAGAGTGTTGTCAATGAAAATTTTATCCCGAAATTTAAAAAAGCCATGTTTGTATGGAATACTGGTATAGAAGAAGATCAATAAGGGGCCGTAGCCACATAAAAAAAATTTTTTTCATTATTCTCAAAAAGGCACTAGTTAAACGTCTTTGATATTGTCCCGCCTTAATTTTTTTTAAAGCATTTTAGTTTCTTTATTCTATGGTGCCTTCCTGTCAGTGTCAAAAAATTGTCATTAGACCCTTTTCTAACTATTGAGCTCTGTCAAATGTACAATAACAATGGGTTGTTTATATGTTTACAAACTATATTATAGTTTTGAGATAATTAGAAATTAGGTGTATAGTAAAAAAAAGCCTACATGTAATATACATTAGTGATATAGTGATAAAGTGTTGTTCTCCAGAGTGTAATATTATTGGGACTAATTTATTTCCAAAAGATCCAAAGCGTAGAAAACAATAAGAGAAAGTTACAAACATAAGTAATTTTAAAACCAAAAATACCAGTAAATTGTATCCATGTCATTTTAAAACCTATGATTATATTGATCAAAGTAAATATACAAGTAAATAAATAATTGAAATATAATTGATATTGATTTGAAGATTACCTATGCACATAAACTTACCATAGTATTCGCCTTTCTTTCAAATTACCCACCATCGACAAAATTTTAAAAAAAAAAAGACAGTTTGTTTTTAATACCTCGCGAAGGGAGTCGCGGGCGACAGCTAGTATGTTATAAATATTTAAACAAAGATATTTTGTTTTGTTATTAAAATACAGTTGCTATCAATGTTATATTTGATACGTTTATTATGAGATAACAGTTTCATATCAGCATTACTATTGCTTTCGAACGACATAACAACGACGACCGTCAGATTGTTAGTGTGTCTCGATACTTTATAAGTCACGAAAATGGTAAGGTTAATTTATTTGTATTAAAACTATTTCATTTATTTAGTACCTGAGATTGATAAAACTATACATTCGTGGATTAAAAAAGAATAGTGTGTTGTCTCTTGTTTTTAATTATCTGTGCAAAATTTCATCCAGATCGACTTAACCGTTTTGGCGTCGCTACCAAAGTAACAAACCTTCATCCAACAATCTAATCCTTCGCATAAATATTAGTATGAAACTTTTTATTTTTTCAGGTAATCTTTAACGCTCGAGGATTAATGCCACCAGTGTTCACACCACTTAATGATGACCACACAATAAATTATTCAGTGATACCTGAATATGCTAAATACCTAGCAAATGCTGGCATCAAATCTGTCCTTGGTAAATTATTCCTAACAAAACCTTTTTATATAAATATAACATAAGCTACACGCATAGACTCACTTGTCGTCAATATTTTTTTATATTTTTTTTCGTCAGAACCTAAATTCTAAACCTTAACTCATTTTAAATCTTTGTATATTGCAATACTAACTGTCGCCCGCGATTCTGTCCGCGCGGAATTTAAAAAAACTTAATTAGTAGGTTATATGTTATTCCAGACTATGTTCTACGTCTAATCCAAATTTCGTCCGGATCCGTTCAGCCGTTCTGTGGTTACCTACAAACAAACATCCATCCATTTAAATATTCGCATTTATAATATTAGTAAGATGTATATTGTATTTCCGACTTAAACTCTACCATTGAAGTTCGTAACAGCCATTCGTATTAGATCGAATCCTCACCTCCGCTACCAACCTCAACAATCGAATAGACACAAAATAACATATAAATACAAAATAATATATATATATATATATATATATATATATATTATATCAAAAGGTGGCAAACGAGCGAGCGGCCACCCGAAATCGCTGAAATAGCGAAGTGACCGTTGCCCATAGACATACGCAATCGCATATGCGTTGCCTACCTTTAATCGACGGAGGAGAGGATGCACAGAAAGAAAATATTTTCCCTTCCCATGCATCCTCTCATCCGGAAAGTCCACTTCCACTTCCCATCCTTTCCTTCTAAGAAAAAGGGTGGGAAGGGAAAGAGGACTAAATTAGGCCTCCGGAGGACTAATATAGCCTGTCCATGTATAGAGTAGTGTATATTAGTACTAAAATACTTAATTTTCTATTAAGTTGGTGGCACAACTGGTGAGCATATGTCTCTAAGTGTTGGAGACAGGAAGAAAGTAATAGACGCCTGGGTGAAGGTAGCTAAGACCACTGATCTGCATATACAAGTGCAAGTTGGTGGTGCCCCATTGTCAGACGTATTGGATTTGGTAAGGACTATCTTTTAGAAAAACTAACATGTGTACTTTGGTGGTTTTTAATATCGGAGATGTACTTTGGGTCGCTGCCCTAACGCAGTAAATTAGGTATTATAAGATTCAAACTTTATGCAGGCTCGGATACACAAGTCAACAACTTAATGCCCCGTTCATACTTGAAAGTAGCCTCTAGTGTGATCTGAGTCCCCATAAAGTTTGGATAAATATGAAAAGTATGTTGGTTAAAAGTCGATAAGATATTTGCATATTGCCTGATATAAGATGTTGATGAATTTGAAGGTCACAAGAACAATTTCTTATCAGTTGAAGTTTAACATTATAGTGTTATCAATTATATAATTTCCGCTCATATCGTACATGATAATTCATTCGTTCTCTTAACACACCTATTTATTTTTGTTCAGTACAGAACAAGAAAATAAAAAAAAAACTGTTGGAAATGTTAGATTCGCGTTTAATTAGAAAAGGTACACTGGTGATGCGACAAGTGTGCGAGTGAGTGCGAGAATGTGAGAATGTATGGAATGAAAGAGTGAGTGCTTGAAGTTGAGTGAACGGCGCCCCCGCGCCCCTCGGCCAGGTGTCAAGTTTGACGCAGACAATTTTAAATAAATTATTTGTAATAATTCTTAAACATATTCCTAGAAATTAAGTCCTACAAAATTTACTTTCGTAGATAATCCTGTTTTTTTTTACCTGCCGATACCGTATTCTTCCCCTGTGAGTCAATAATAATGCGTGGGTTTCTGATTTGTTCAAACATATAACATTATGTTTTACACAAAGATATTGGTCTCAAATTCCATCCGTAAATCGGTTTTTTTCATTAACAAATAGTGTTTTTAGGCTTCATATTGCCAGAAAGTAGGAGCAGATTCGCTTCTAACTCTACCTGAGTTGTACTTCAAACCGGACAGTGTAGACACTTTGGTGGATTACGTGGAGCTGGTGGCCAATGCTGCGCCCAACCTGCCCGTACTTTACTACCATATACCGAGCATGAGTAAAGTGGAAAGTGAGTATAACGCAAGTGACGTCACAGTGACGTTTAAATACCCACACACACAGTCACGCACACAAACACTGAATTAAAGTTTTTATGTCTTCACGTTTGCATCGTACGGTGAAGGAAAACATCGTGACGGACAACAAAGTGATCCTATAAGGGTTCCGTTTTTTTCCTATGAGGTAAGTAACCCTAAAAACAACAATTGAAAAAATGGTAAAAAGGAATTAATATATTAAAAAAGTGTTTCTTATTTCTACAGTCAACATGCCAGCGTTTGTTACAAAAGCAACAAATCGTATTCCTAATTTCAAGGGCATTAAATTCACGTCAAACGACTTAAGCGAAGGCGCTCAAGTCTTGAGAGCTCTCAAGAATGACCAGGAAATGTTCCTAGGAGCTGATACTGTAAGAATAATTTGAAACTGTCTGTCTTTAACTATAATATATATTTTTTATATTCAATAGAAAATTAGAAAACCGTTAAATTTTAAATAAACTTTTCATAGTAGCGGTACGCGACCGTTGTACCGCGACAGACACCAGCCCGCAATGGATTTTAGTTTGCTTTGTATGATTTGACATATCGCTGCTTACATTATCTGTGCAGCCGCATCAAAAGACAAAGCAAATCCGTTTAATCTGTGCATGCGGTGACTTGACTGACTGAACCTAAATTAATCAAAAAATTATTTAAAACATTTTTTTATGATATTTACAATTATTTATCGTACCCATAGTTGATCGCGCCAGCAGCTTTATTGGGCATAAAGTCCAGTATTGGCACCACTTGGAACTTGTTCCCGAGATTAGCTCAGGATATACTGGACGCGGTGGAAAGGAACGACGTCGCAAAAGCTAGGTCTTTACAGGAGACACTCAGCTTGGCTATTGAAGCACATACAGTTGAAGGTAGATTGAAATGTTGGATTTAATTAGGTTTTAAAAGGCTAACGCCCTGGGCGGTTAAGTGGGGCGACTACCTAGGGCTACGGGCATAAGGGACCTCGGAGGCACCAATTCTCTAAGAAACTTTATCTTTGGAAGGTTAATCTCGAGACCAAAAAAGTAGCCGCAAAAATCTTGCCCAGGGCCCCGGATATGTTAAAACTGGCCTTGTTTAAAATAAATGGCGTAAGCAATTTAAATAATAATATCATCTGACAGAAAAAAATATCGAATTTT